TCGCCAACGACTCCAGGTAGGGCCCCGCACCCCGCGCCGCCGCAGCCGCGCCCCGGGAGGCCCCGCCGCCCGGTCAGCCATGCTCTGCTCTGCCTCCCCGCAGCCTCTACCCGCACATGTTCTCCAGAGCCTACATCAACTTTAAAAACCAGGAAGACATCGTGCTCTTCAGGGACCGCTTTGACGGCTACGTGTTTGTCGATCACAAAGGCAAGTGGAGGCGCTCGCTGCCCGTTCCCGTGTCTCCCGGTGTGCGCGGCGGGCTGGGCGAGTGGTGGGTGGGCAGGAGCAGCCTGGGGTGCGGCCCGAGCTGTTCGGCTTTAGTGCCGACATGCGGTGTTTCAAAGAGCAAAGGAGCCGTCTGATGCTTTGTAAAGCTTTGTAATCTAAATTGTTTTTGTATATTTTTGAGTGGACTTCGCACAGGGTGTGTAAAACCCAGTGAAGTGCATGTCCAGGAAGCAGGGGTGTCAGTGCACAAGCAGTTGCTGCGTTGCCGAGGTTGATACTTGTCTTGTCATGTCTGAGTATAAAGACTGAAAAGGGAAGGTGGGTGGTTGGTGCTACTGTCCGAGCCGAATGAAGCTCAGGTTAATGATGCCACCCTCTGCTGCTCCCCTGACCTGTTCTGCACTCTTCCAACAGCATGATGTTGTCTTTTTTGGTCAGTCTTTAATTCAGATTATTACTTGTTCCAATTTACAACTGAGTGAACCATCTTGGCTCAGTGAAAGGAGTGGTTTGTTCCTTGCAGTCATAAGTTGTGGAAGTGACTGCTCCCTAGAGACATTAACATGTAGGAAACAAATACTTAGTTTAATTCATTGGTTAAACATCCCAACATTTAGTTGTCACCTTTTTTCTAAAAACATATTGGGTATTTAGTGCATCTCATGTTTTTACATTTTGTATTTCAAAACTGCTTGCATTGGGTAGCACTGGAAGTTGTTAGTCTCTCATCAATAGACCTTAAATTTGCATATTTAGCAGAAGCTTTAATGAGAGTCTTTCTGTTGCCTTCCATAGGCTTCAGGGAACCTTTCAGTACCTGAAGGGGCTACAGGAAAGCTGGAGAGGGATTTTTTTTACAAGGGCCTGGAGTGTTGGACAAAAGGGGACATTTTCAAGCTGAGAGAGGGGAGATTTGTATTAAATATTAGGAAAAAATTACTTACTGTACAGGTGGTGAGACACTGGAATGAGTTGCCCAGAGAGACTGTGGATGCCCCATCAAGTGCTCAAGGCCAGGTTGGATGGGGCTTGGAGCAACCTGGTCTAGGGAGGGATGGCCCTGCCCATGCAGAGGGGTTGGAACTAGATGATCTTTAAGGTCCCTTCCCAAACCATTCTGTGATTTCACCTGGAACTTAGTTTCAAGTCCATGTGTTTTACATTTCATCCAGCCAGGTGTTTTAGGTGACACACAGCTCTGTCCACAAGGTTCTGCCTTATGTAGGAGAGTTGCGTGACAAGGTTGTTAAGAACACCGGGATCTTTTAACTAAGCTGGTTTGCAGTGTGGCAGCACACTGTGTTTGCCATCCCTGACAGCAATAGGGGATTTATGCAGCCGTAAATGTATCATTCTTGTCAGAAGAGATAACTGTAGAGCCTGCCTGTAATGTGTTGCCTTCTATTGGATTTTGCCAAAAATTGAGATTTGCCTCCATTGCATTAACTTCAAGTATTTTCTTCTGTTTGCACAAACGATGCAGTCTGCAGGATGAGAGTCTGCTGTGTCTGAGCTAACTGAACTGTCAGTCCTAATTCTAGGGTTGCCTTCTTGTTGTGAGTCTGTGAATTTGCTGTTTTGTTAACATAGTGGGAGTGTTCAGATCGTGAATTCTGCTGTCTCTGAAATATTTTCTTATTAAATGGCTTCCGAAGCACAAGGCTATTTTTGTGCTGTCCAAGTAGTCTCTTCTGGTATTGCCCATTTCTTCTGAGATTTATCTTCCTGCTTTACACATGGACAATATAATCTATTTCATGTCTGTTTCACCTCTGTTTTAATGTGTTTTCCTCTCTCCTCATGACAGGTCAGGAATATGCTGCCATAGTTGAATTTGCACCTTTCCAAAAAGCTGCGAAAAAGAAGAGTAAGAAAAAGGATGCGAAAACTGGAACCATCGAAGATGGTAAAACAGCTGCCTTGTTTGGTTTGCATACCTAGATTTGAAAGTCCTAGAAGTAATTTGAATATAATGTTTTTACTGTGACACTGTAGTTTATCAATAGAATGTTTGCTTAATTACGTATTAAGCTTATTAGCAGCTGCAAATCTGTTAAATACGCTTGTCCTAGGCACACACATTGCAGCAGCTCATCTGAGAGCTGCCAAGTTACAAAAAGGTGACACACAAACCGCACAGCTTATGCAAATCTCACCCAGACTTCCAGTGCAAATTCTTTTCATGCTACAGTGTATATCTTTTTCCCTTTTTTTTTTCCTCTTTCCCCTCTCCTGTAGACCCAGAGTACAAGAAGTTTTTGGAAAGTTACAGTGCAGATGATGAAAAATTAACCTCCACTCCCGAAACATTGTTGGAGGAAATAGAGGCAAGAAACAAAGAGCTAATAGGTATGGAAATCTATGTACTCTACTTACATTTTCCTGGAGCACAAAGAGATGTATGTGGTGTAATTTGAAGCTGTGATTTCTCAACCTGGAGGAGACTGAATTCTTTTGTGTGCTTGGTATTTGTTAAACCTTTAGGCTAAAATTATTCACTGTATTTTATTTTGCTTCCATGCTCTAAATTCTTCTTTAGGTCTAAGTTTTGTGTGGTAACTTTCCTGCCTGTTTTAAACAGCTAGTCAGAGGTTTGTTAGCCAGACTAGGCCATGGCGTGGCTGCATTTCAGTGAGATACAGTGATGTTTAACCAGAATGTTGTGAGTAGTGATGGTCTGTGCAGGCACCAGCTAAGAGAGACTGTAGTTGGGTAAAATACAACAAAAATGCTCTTTATCATAGAATGTTCTTTTTAAGCATGTTACAGGTATCTTTTTCAAAGCAAGAGAATCTGGGAAAAGTCTAGACTGAATATCCTTCTACAGATGGGTGCACTGGATATTGTATTAGTGTCCTGAAGAAGTTTATGGAATCCCAGTACTTGCCACTGTTTGGGGATAGCAGAGAGCAGGATACTTGTTCCACTGTTGTATTTTCTGTGTGTGAGAGGAGAGAGGGAGGGTAGTCCCTAAGGCTGCTCCATTTCATGTAGGATTTTGTTGTAGGTGTTTCAGTGTTGGATAAGGCACATTGCTTACATTTGTTTTATATATTCTCTAGCTAAAAAGACTACTCCTTTATTGAACTTCTTGAAAAATAAACAGGTAAGACTTATCTCCAGAATTTTCTTGTTGCTCGCAAGAACAATTTGCTCACTTATAGCATGGGTGTGTATGTTGCAGTGTGTGCATTGGTATGTTTCTGCTCTTCCTTTTGAAGAAGGTGCTTTAGACCCAACTGACTTTTTTAACATTTGGGTCACATATTTTAAACAATGAGAACTCTGGCAGGTGTAGGACTTGTGGTGTTTCGTGAGTGTTCTGGTCACAGCTGAAGGTTTCTTGTGGTTTTGCCAAAGCAGATTCCCTTGCAATGCTTTCCTTTTCAGTGAGGTTATGACTGAGGTCCTTGTAGATGATCTTTCTCCTAGTACATAAAACCATTTTATCTTTTAGCAATGGAGGAAATCACAGGTGGGGCAGATGAATTGAAGTTAAAATCATAAAGGCTGAGGCTAGTGTTGTGTTTGGGTTCTTTGAGACAGATTCAGTACAAATCAAGGTTCATGAGCAAGTGAAAACCACCAAAATGCTGCTTTAACATGTTCAGGTTCACAACAGAGACAACAGCATTACTTTTAAAATAGCTACAGTTTTGAGGTCAGTTATGTGGGGATTAAGTACTTCATCACTTCATGGCAGGGTGTTGTGTTATGCTTCAAGGGATGATTTCTAGTGTGGAAATACAGTATTTCTCTTTGCTTTTACACATACAGAGGCTGAGAGAAGAAAAAAGAGAGGAGAGGAGGAGAAGAGAATTGGAAAGAAAAAGACAAAGAGAAGAAGAAAGAAGAAAATGGAAAGAGGAGGAAAGAAGGAAGAGAAAAGAAGCAGACAAACTGAAGAAGGTAGACAGATGTCCTGAAAAAGAAAGAGACCGATCAAAAGAAGAACCAAAGATTAAGGTCTAGAACAGTTCTTTATTATAAACTGTTACACTCCCTTTCCCCTATTATTTGTATATCAGTCTCTCAAAATGTGCATTGAGTATTGTGTGAAGAATCACATGAGTTTGGTGTTAGTAAATTGCCACTTTTTTGTAATATTCAATATTAGGCATTGTAAAGGTTTCCATGCTGTAATGCTTCATAGCAATATTTAAACCTTTTGTCATGTGACTGTTGTACATGCTGTGGTAAACAGAATTGTAAATTCACTATGGAATGGAGACTATTTTTAAGCTGTTTTAGGAGAACAATCCTAGTCTGCTGTGTGAATTATGCTTACTCATACACTCCAGCTTTTAGAAATACTATGATTTGAAGTAATACTATTTTAATGTTTATTTCTTACTGGACTATGGCTCCTTTGATGCAATTTCGGTGTTGTGCCAGACAGTATGTGTTAGAGTGAGCTTTTTAGTTGAGACTTCTGTTTTCTTTGTAGCTACTTAAGAAGCCTGAAAAAGATGAAAAAGACTTGGAGAGAAAAGAGAAATCCAAGAAACTGGAAAAAGAGACTCTGAGGGAGGAAAAAAATGCGAGTAGTTCATCTGCCAAACGATCTGATGGGGAGACAAAAGAAGAGAAGGCAAAAAAGTATTCTAGTACTTGCTATAAATATATCTATGTATATATTACTTGTTTCCTGATTGTACTGAGGCTTAAGCTGCTCTGCCATGACCATATTTTGAAACTCCTTTGCAATTATTTTTCTGATCTAAGGCATGGGATGTGTTCTCTGGCAGCGCATGCCCCCGTGGCTACAGAAAGCGGTGTGAGTCACCTGACACTTCTTCACTGGTCAACAAATTTTAATATTTTTGCAACTGATTGTAGGAGCTCTCCAAAGAAGCCCAGGTGTAGGTGGCCTGCAGCAGGCTGTGAGCACTGTCCTTGCAATGAACTATAACCATGGCAAGAAGAGAGGGGTACTCCAGCTACTAGTCCCTTTAAGTCTTGGTAAACGGTCAAAGTGGAAAGTGTAATTCTCAACAGCTCCATGGTCTGTACAAGGTTCAATTCTGCCATGTGAGAAGTAAGGGATGAGACAGAGAAACTCAGGTGTTTTCCAAAGCCAGAGGAGACTCTGCCAGCTATGTGAGCAGAAGGCAAGGAAATGCTAGTGTCATCTCTGCTTATCATGCATGACTCGGGTTATTGCAGCTTCCCAAAAGCTCCCTAGAACCTACCAGTGTGTCGTCTTCGTATTGCAAATTTACACCAGTATTACATTGATCTCCCAGCTCTGTTTGATGAATCTTTTGAGCTTAATTTTCAGTTTTGTTTTCATACAGATCAGAAGATGAGTGTGTAAAGGACTACAGGGACCGAGATAGAGATTTTGAAAGAGACAGAGAATATGAGAGAGCACAGAGGGAAAAACTGAGGCGCCAAGAAGAGGAGCGTCGGAGGCAGAAAGAGCGCTTTGAGAAAGAGAAGGTTTTTAGAAGAAAAGAGGAAGAGGTGAAAAAGGAGAGAGACTTGCTCAGAGAAAAGGGAAAGAAAAGTGATCTTACAGACTTTACCAGCAGCACGGACAAATCTGAGAAAGTAACCAAAGACGATAAAAAAGAGGATACAATCAAGAGGGATCGTATCAGAAACAAGGTGCTGGATTTCTTTCAATTCATGCATTGATTTGTAAGGATCAGCTTTGTGGGTTTTAGGATAAAAGCAGTTCAAGAAAATAACCATGTGATTTCTCTGTTGAAACTTCTCCCTGTTCTGGTAACAAGCTCTGCATTGCTAGAAAGTTTACCTGTTTGTCTACTAAACTTTGCGAAACTGTGACATTTCTTGTCACTTTATAGGAATTAAGCCAAGGTGTCATGGGATAAATTATAAAGAGACTGATCCCTTTTCACTCCCTGCCTCACACCATAGGCTAGACCTTCAGGGATTGGTAGAGCATCAGTTGATGTACCTGTATCTGCTGATGTTTCACATGCCTGAGAATGCGTATCAAAGTGGGAGTGTAATTGAATAGGTTCCTCCAAAACAGGGACAAGACTGCTACATGCAGTGTATGACAGCAGATCTCCTGTAGACTCAGTAAATAATGTCTTAAGTTTAGTTTTATATACTCTGCCAATCTGTTTCTGCAGCGTTGGTATGCAAGCTTTCCATGTCACTTCAGGTGTTACTGGGTACAAGTGAAACTCGGGGTTAGAAGTTGGCCTTTATTCTGAGAGAGGGTGAGCTGAACTCCTCTCAAGAGGAAGCTCTTCACAAATGACTTCAGCTTTGTGCAGTGTTCTTTGTGACCTGAACAGGGACGTTTCCTTACGACAGAGACGACCTCAGTGGGAGTCAGTTGAAGTTATGTTGCCACAGCAGTGGAATAATTTAACTTAGAACACCTTGAAAAGTTTGAACTTGAGCCATGTCTAGTATCACTGAGGCCAGCGTGGGGCTATGAAAGAGTCTAAAGAGTTGTGGTTTGTTTCAGGACCGGCCAGCGATGCAGCTGTACCAGCCGGGCGCCCGCAGCCGCAGCCGGCTGTGCCAGTACGAGGAGAGCGCTGGGAAGCCCTCGGATCCGGGCGCCGAGCGGAAGCTCGAGAGTGAGACCAGTAACATGAAGGAGGAGGAGTGACTCGCATGCAAGCCTTATGTGTTCTGACTGTCTGTGCAGCCAAAGAGCATGTACTACGCAATCCAGAAGTGCCTTCGAAGCGAAGAAGGAACAAAGGAAGGAGAGGGGGCTTTGTGCTGTTGGATGTTTCTGGTTAAAGAACCTCAGCTGTAGATTCGGCGTTTGAAATGTGTTCTCATTGTATTTTCAGTTATTTGAATTTATTTTCCTAGCATCCAACTACAACAGAGAAGAGAATCTTTGCAAAGTAGAAAGACTTTATGGCCTTAAGTATGATGATAAATGAGTCGTGTGGTCAGGAGAAGATGACGCCTGGAGCTAAAGCCAGAGCTTCACTGTGAAGCCATCGGAGCCAGTGTTCGATGCACTGAAGCAGAGTGAGCTTGGAGTTGGCCAGAGTGGACACAGGTGTTGTGATGTGTCGTGCTCCTGCCTGAGGCAGTGACAGCTCAGTTGTGCTGGTCTGGCACTGAGGCAGGTGTGCAGGTGGGGCTGTGGAGCTGCCATGAGCAGGAAGGGGGTCACCTGGCCCCGGAGGCATGGCTTAGGGAGGAGAGACCTTTCTCTCCAGTGGTTCTCTGGATAAAGTAACTAAGTTGGAGTGTATGAATAAGCTGGCTTAATTCTTGACAAATTCTCATGTAAAATCTACCTATATTGAAATGCTTATTTTGAATGAAATGTAGCTGGTTTGAGCATTCCATTCTTTTTCCAGCATTCTCTGGAACGTTTCCTAACTCCTGCCCTCT